ATACAGAAACAAAACAAAACAAAACAAAACAAAACAAAACAAAACAAAACAAAACAAACCTCCATAATAAGTTTTGGTATTGCCAAAAAAATCTAGTTTTTATTTTTAGTGAGAGTAGTGTGAACTTTAGTAGAATTTAACGGTGGTTATGCAATATAACTTCAATGTTTCCATCTTTGGCAGAATTACAGGGTTTTATTCAAGGTGCTAGTACAAAAAAGTTTAGTCTGTTTATATATTACATATATTTTCCCTAATGTATTATGCTAGTGATCCTAAGTTGAAAAGTTTTGACATCAGTGCCTACATTTACTCTTTGGTTGCATAGTGCACCTTTTGTGAATCATGAGACCTCCACAGATATTTTTATGTTTCTGAGGTGAACTCTCTTCTAACTTATAAGATGGCACTTCTCTTTTATTCTCTTCAAAGAGAAAGAAGCTCTGTTGTTTTACTGCGTGTTAATTTTATGAATTAATGATTCCAGACCAACAGTAATCAATTGTGGTACAAACAAACAATAATTTAGAGCTCTGTTTCACTGGAAAAACTTGTCACCCACAGTTTCTTTTATATAAGGTCATTACACAGCATCGAAGGCAGGCCATAGTGCATCCAGGGTACGGTTTCCATGGTTATTAATGGAAGATTTCTAGAAGTTCAGTCAGTGGCTGCCTATGCAAAGCAACTTCTGAAACGCACAGCATCCTCGGTGCAAGTCATTTCTTCTTTAGTTAAGGAAGATTGATATTTTTATTAAAATTATTTCTAAATTCACTGAAGATTGTCAATTAAAAACTGCATAAGATGAAATGTGAAGTGATGATTTTATTTACATTTTGCAATAATTAAATAAAGAAAATCAACATATCTAGCATCTCATGTACATCTCCACGTGGATGCATTTGGACAGGAGTTTATTTTTCAGTTCTTTTATAGACAAAGCATGAAAGAAATGCATTTTTCTATAATTAATGTCTGTAAGAAGAAATGGGTGCTGATTAGTACAAGACTGGTAAAAGATCAGTAAAGAATAAGTTAAATAAAATTATAAGGTTGGTAAATGTTATTGTATAAGATTATCAAAAGATTTCTCTTTTAGACATTTTCACAATTAATTAAAATAAAGAATTTATATGCTTCTCAGGAATAAATATGAATTATAGACAAAGTTTTGTCCATTCTCTATATAAGCAGCTTGAATGTTATACATAGAAAAACACATGTATGGTAAAAATGTACGTGGCCCTGGCCGTGGCCCTGGCCATGGCCCTGGGCTCGCTGAGCCAGTGACGAAGTCGGGCACGTGCCTGTAATCGCAGCGACTGGAGAGGCTGACAGGAGGATCACTAGGAGTCTGAACTATGTAGTGAGACCCTGTGTAAATAAATGAATGAATAAATAAATAAATGTGATTTATCAGAATTTACCTACATATCTATCGTCACCATGATCATCATCTATATCTTTCCATAATCCATGATTTGTTTAAAGATTAAGCTACTATTGATTTCACAATACTATTGATGCTAATTGATCTTTTTGCTCTTAGATCTACAGAGATTTAATATCTAAAAAAGGCAAATATCTAAAACTCCTATAATCTCTGTTGCATGTATGATATTATGCAATTATAAATGAGCCTCTAAGTCATTAATTATCTTTGCCTTATTTTATTGTTCTTTCTGGACTTGAACACTTAAACAATAAGTAATCAGGACAGTTGTGAAATTTTGTTTAAATTTTTCAGTTGTAAGGGGACAACTGTTATAAAACCATTCGGAAAATTGTGTTTGATGGACTCTCCAAAGATCAATGAAATTTTCATGTGGTTTCATTTCTTTCCTTTCCATTCCACTCCGTATTACCTAGATATAACTCAAAGTTTTTTATTCCTAAAAGTTTAGATTTTCTCTTAAGACTTTCAGGAAGTTGGCACAGAGGAGTTTTGAAGGTCACATTTACCAAAAGGGTTTTAGCCAATTGTTTAATTTTTTTTCTTTATTCCCAGATATTTATGGAGGTTATTTGCTTTGGGTTACCAGTTACTGAAGGAAAAGAAATAGATATTCCCAGATTAACTTTAAGTCATGGAAAAGGAAATAGAGACACTCAGTAACATGTCAACTGAAGTGAAGCAGATGCTAATAACCTCTGTGGGGGAAAAGACTACAACACCTCATGTTCCAATGACCAAGAAGTAGATTAACACATAGAGAGGTCCACAAATTTTTATTATTGTAAGCTACACAAAAAACATTAAAATGATAATAGATTTAGATAATCCATTACTCTATATTTAAACTCAAAAATATGAAAATTAAAAATACTTGTAGTGGCTGGGGAGATGGCTCAGTAGAATAAGTTCTTCCCTGGTAAGCAGAAGGCCTGAATTCAACCCCTGGTTCTGAAAAAAAACCCACTTTCCAATCCAGAATATTACTCTGCAAAATCAATGTTCAAAATTAATGGAGAAATAATATATTTCCATGACAAAAAATGGAGACATTTATATCCACCAAATCAACCCAACAAGGAAATACTCTATAAAGTGATAAATGTGAGCACAATTCCAAGAGCAAGAACAGCCACAAACCAACAGACAGAGCAAGCAATTAAACAGAGGTGAAAATCAGAGAACCCACAGCAGGAACATATCATGAGATAAGCTGATACATATCGGTTATAACCATCAATCTAAATGGCTTCAATTCACCAATCAAAAGAAGCAGACAGGAAGGCTGGATCAAGAAACACAATCCATCAATGTGCTGTATGCAAGAAACAAATGGAACTCAAATGGAGTTCATAGACTTATGGTCAAAGGGTAGGAAACAATCTTCTTCCATGCCACAGGAGCTCCACAAAAAGCAGGGGTAGCTATCCTATTTGCAAATAGTGTGAATTTAAAGCCAAAGCTGATCAAAAGAGACAAAGAAGGAAACTATATAGTAGAACAAAGGGTACATTTGTCATTACAAAATTGTAGATAATTTTACTTCATTACTGTACAAATAGTGAGCTTTGACAAAACCACTACTTTGAAAACTGTAGACACTTTTTTCAACTGAATACAAATTTTACAGCTTTTGCAGACAAAAAGACAGTTCCTTAATTCTTTTTGAGAAAGATGGGTAAAAGCCAACTCAACTTGAATAATTTTAAGACAAACTATTTCAAACATAGTATTTAGCAAATACAATCAGAGTAAATCTTTGGTAGTTTTATAAAGTACCAGTAACATATCAAATGCACAGTAAAAAATTGCAAAGAATGTAAAACATTATTTATAACGTCATAGATTTTCAAATTATCACAAAAATACTGAGATTTTACACAACATAATATTTTAAGATGATGTATAGACAAAAAAAAGACAGAAATGTAGTCTATAAAGTTTGTAATAATGGGCCAGGGAGATGGCTCAGTGGAATAAGCGCTTCCCTGGCAAGTGCAAGGGTCTGAGTTCAATCCCCGGTTCTGCCAAAAAAAGAAAAGAAAAGTTTGTAATAATGATGTTATAAAGAAAAAGTATGACTAATGATAATATGAAAATATATGTCAGTATTCTGATTAATTTCATCATCTCTGCCTGAAAGATGATATTTATTGAAAAGTAGTATGACCAAAGTTAATTAACAACTATAATTCAGTATGCACATATAGAGAGCTGTGGGCCAGGGCTGAACAACACATATTACAGGCCGGGATGTGGCAGAGGAGTAGAAGAACCACATAGTGGGGGCTTCCCTGGGCTCTGTTTGCATCAGTGCAAGAACTAAAGAGCACATCCTTCTACATCAAACAGGGAGTGTGACGATACGTGCACCTGACCTAATCAACTCACCAAGCCTCAAGGACAGAACAATGAGAAAAACTACCTATTTTAATCTCACAAATCACACATCGGGTAGTAATGCAAAAATGTCGCTTTTTCCAAGACCCATTAAGAGGTATTGGAAGGTGTGGAGGAAAGTGACTGGTATAAGCCCTGCTACACTTATTGTGTTTTGCATTGAAATTATTATTTTATTTTTAAAAGATGAAAGAGACACGTGTAAAATTTATCATCTCTTGCTCTGCTAAGAGTTTTCACTCTTGGCTGTCCTTCACTCCTATTCCAAATGTCTTTGTCTTTTTCAAGACTTCCCTCCTGTCGAGCTCAGAAGGTGACAGGAATCTCTCAGGCGTTGATGGGGGCAGAGCCACCCCTCTGGGCCACCATCTTCTCCACACAGATGTCAGCACAGTCTGCAGCCCTCACACTATTTCCTTTAGCATTACTGCTCCCAGTTCCTGGTACTTCAACTTCATGTAGAAGTCACGACTATGAAGCATGTACTGGCATATTAATGTGTGAGATTATTTATTTCTTCAGAGCAGAAAATATATTAAAAGCCCGCCCTTCACATTTCATGCTTTTCCATCTGCTGCACTTTCTGTAACCTTTTTCATCTATTTATATGGAAGTTAGTAAAGACTGTTAAATCCTCTGCTATGGAACTTCAGTAGTAAAATTTCTAAGACCTGGCAGGCACCAGTTCTTGTGGAGATAGATTAAAATTTCTGAGTGTTTGTTTTGACATAAACCATTGTATTAACTTAGCTGAGTAAAATTTTTCCACAGACTATAAGTGTAAAGCATGATTTACATGATTTTTTAGAAATTGTTCATGATGATAGTTGCTTATAACAGACAATAAGAAATTGATCCATGACTTATGAGTATAAGTCATGGCAATATGTCCTCCTATGACAGATATATGAAGCTCATTTCCTTTGGTCTACTGGAAAGACATTAATCTCATCCATGATAAATCCACAAACCCAATGCAATTTAACATTAATCAGCTTTCACACATACACTTAAAGTAGCACACTCAAGCTTAGGATATGAATGAAGGAGAAAGAGCATTCAATTAATAAGTGGTATGGTTCAGGGTTGGAATTTGATCATGTTTCACGATTTTTCTCTAACAACTACTTTGCTTTCTATTTAGGCTTATGCCTAGCGATTACCAGAACGTTCTGTCCTTCATTTTCGCCATCGAAGAGATCAACAAGAATCCTTATCCTTTACCTAACATATCGTTGGGATATGAGTTCAATAATATCCTTTACAGTTACTGGAGGTTGTTAGAGAGTATCCTCATTTTGTACCCAGGACAAAGTGAGACACCTAACTATAGCTGTGGAAGACAGCCTAAGTCTATAGCCTTACTAACAGCATCACCGTGGGCAATTTCTTCTCAAGTGGGACCATTTCTGGAGCTCTACAATTTTCCACAGGTGAGGCTGAGTGGACGGGGAAGGATAAAATCATGTCACATTAGGTGACAGCTTCAGGTACACTTTCAAAGATGTTGAATGGATGGTGTGTGTTTGTCTGTCACACAAAATATACAGCTTCAAAGACAACCCCCTGAGGTTTGTTCATTACATACATTTTCTTTATGATCACGAGAAAGGCTGGAGAGATGAAATTAAAGACTTCTTGAACTCTTCTGTTCAGTTATTTGCTCAAACAAAACGTTAGAATGTGAGATTATTAAATAGATGGACATAATCATTTTCCCTTCAAGAATTCAGCTATATATCTGCATTTCTGTCTCTATTTCAGCTGCTTCATAATGTGCTTTATGGGCAAGATTGAGCTTTATGTCAAGTTTCTTCCCATAACTTCTAATTTTCCTTTTCTTTCTTTCTTTTTTTTTTTTCTAATTTTCCTTTTCTTGTAGCTTACTTTTGGCACTTTCGATCCTGCATTCAGTGACAGCGGCCAGTTTCCTTCTCTGCACCAGGTGGCTCCAAAGGACTCAACTCTGGCCCTAGACATGGTCTCCTTGATGCTTCATTTCAGCTGGACCTGGGTGGGACTGGTCATCACAGAAGGCCAGAATGGTTTCCAGTTCCTCTCAGATGTGAGAGGACAGACGGACAGGAGTGGTGTCTGTATAGCATTTGTGACACTGATCTCAAACCCTCTTGTATCATATCTCCAATTTAAAAAACTGAAAAATTTCCTGACTAGAGAAATATCACCAGTAAATGTGGTGATCATTTATTATGATAGCGACAGTCTAAATAACATAAACCATAAGATAGGGATCCATTTAGTGACATGGAGAATCTGGGTTACGAACGCACAATGGCATGCGGATCTGGCTGGGAAAAATTTCATCCTGGACTCGTTCCATGGGCTCCTCATTTTTTCACACCACCATAAGGAGATTTCTGGTTTTAGGAAGTTTATCCAAACAGCAACCCCCTTCAAATATCCAGAAGACACTTTCCTCACTCGGTACTGGTTCCAGAATTTCCACTGCTCATTCTCTGACTCTGCCTGTTCCCTGAAGGACTGCACCCCCAATGCCTCCCTGGCATCGCTGCCTTTGAATCGTTTCGAAACAGCCATGAGTGATGGAAGTTTCAACACCTACAATGCCGTGTATGCGACGGCCCACGCCCTCCAGGAGATGCTTCTTGAACGTGCTCAAACGCAACTCATAGAAAGTGGAGACAATATGGTGTTCTCTCCCTGGCAGGTAATGTGATTTTTTGAGTGACCTGTTGTCCAGGTCATTTCGTAAGACTTTCCACAAGTGGTAAAATCAATACAGAAATACTTGTGAAAAACCCAAAATAATCTACTCATTTTTTTCCAAAATATATTTATTGAGGGAAAGAAAGCTCCTATCTGAGAGAATGACAGGAGGCAGGACCGAGTCAGTGGTCCCACTGATTTTATTGTTGAGATAAATTTTGGCATGGACATGAATCAATATCATTACATTGTTTCAGAATGATATTAATGCCTTAGCTACAGAAGGGTGTTAATAAATATACTTTTCCCATGCAGTTTTAGAAAGGAAAATGGACATCATGTATTTTTTTTTTTGTATACTTAAATGTGTTAAACACTAGAGTGGATATTTTACCTAACATTGACATTCTACTCCACAAGCATTTTGGTGTTAATGATCACATTTTGCAGGCAGATGTTGTGGGAACAAGCAGAAACATACGAGTTGGAAATGTTTAGCATGTATGTACCCCATATACTTACATGGAGTTTCTTGAAACTGTTTTTAAAGTTAACCTTTTAGAAACATTATGATAGTTTCACTCAGTTACCTCCATTCCATGCCAGAGTGAACACTCCATTATGAAACAATGATAAAGAGAATTAGAGACTTCCCCACCCAGGTTTTATTTCTTGACATTGCTGTCCATATCATCTCAGGGTTGGGCTTCCGTTTCAGCTACACCTTTTTCTGAAGGATCTCCAGGTTATCACTCCTGCTGGGGAGCAAGTCAATTTAGACAAGCACAGTAAAGTGGATGCAAAGTATGATATTCTCAACTTCTGGAATTTTCCTGAAGGCCTGTGACTTAGGGTGAAAGTTGGAGAGTTTTCCCTGCATGCAGCACCTGGAGAACAGTTGGCCTTGTCTGAAGAGATGAAGCAGTGGGCCATCGGAAGTATGGAGGTATGCTGCCAGCAAACCTAATTTGAGTCATTCACACAACTAAAATAAATTTTGTTGTATGTTTTCTTCCCCATCCTTGATCAGGAAAGCTCAAATATAGAATTTAACAATTCACTTTTAAAATTGAAAGAATGTCCTATGTGTCCTTTTTCTGATGGGTTTTCATCACTTTCTCAAGAGGTACATTTTTTAACAAGATTTTTGTCATTACATTTTAGGCATTAAATAAATATGGCAGTGCGCAACTATTTGGAGTTATGCATTAATGCAAAGTGTTTGCACTCTCCTTGTGAAAGGTGAAGTCGCCAACACAAATCTGCTTGTCCTCAGACTCCCCGCTCAGCCTGCAGTGAGAGCTGCACCCCTGGATTCAGGAAGTCCCCTCAGCAAGGAAAGGCTGCCTGTTGTTTTGACTGCACCCCTTGCTCTAGGAATGAGATAGCTAATGACACTGGTAAGTGGAAGTTCTCTGGAGCAGTTATCGAGCTCTCTTTTGTCTCTAATTCATCTAAGAAAAGAGTCAAATCTTGAGCAGAAAATTAACAGAAAAGTCTTTGTTCCTTGATTTAGCAATTTAACTCTATAACAATATATTGTGATAAATCATGCTCACCCTCCTCTGAACTGTATTTGAGCATGTTTTAAATTCCTTCTTGCTTACAGGGAATGGGATGCAGATACAGTCTACCACTGCACTGTATTCTCTGCCACTTGCATTCTGTTATTTTCAGAAAGGTTCTCTGTAAATTGCCTGGGCTTACCTATAATTTGTGGTCCTCCTAGTTGAGAATATAGGCATGTGACAACATACCTAGATTCTATGCTATATTTTCTGTATCACCTGAGTGTATTATATTACCATCAAATTATGATGCATGCCTACCATCCCATTATTCTGGGAGGCTAAAGCACAATGCCTTTAAGGAAGAGGCAGGTAGTTTTTGGCAGATATAGTGAGTAGCTTGATGAGGCATCATCATAATGATTTTGGAACCTGCTCATCCATTTGAAAGTACTTGGGAGCATGATGCACTGAATATTTGACCATAATTCAGAAAGAAAGTACAAGAGTAAATTTTCAGTGATGACTCAGAAAGTGGAAAGATAAGCCCTGGTACGTAGCTCAATGGCATAAGCACTAGTCTGTCAATTGCAAGGTCCCCAGTTTGATCCCTGGAACAGCAAAAACAAAAGAAAGTAAAAAGGAAGTAGAAAGAATGATGAGTTGAGGGCATTTGGAATATAAGGATATATTTTGTGAAAAATACAATGGACGTGTGCCTTTTTCCGTAATGTCTTTTTAAAAGTTATCATAAATCATACCTTTCAATCACCCATTGCATAGTGACATGAATAATCGTTAGTGCCACTGAACTGTATGAGTTATATTCATGCAAAATATAGGATATGATAAAAGATCATATCTACATGTTTTTTTTCTTTTAGTCTTTATTTATTTATGTATTTTGTACAGAGCTTCAGTACACAGCCTGTATTTGTAGTGATCCTCCTGTCTCAGTCTCCCCAGCACTGGGATGGCAGGTGTATGCTTCCACATCCAGTTTCTCTGGTTGGCTTGTCACGGGGCCAGTAAGGCATATTGTACCTGGGTTTGAACCTGAGACCTTGTGCTTGTCAGGCAGGTGCTTAGACCGCTGAGCTATCTCACTGATCCCTACATGTTTCAATGTATAATGATTTTACACAGACACTGTAGCACCAGTATTTTATCATATGGGTATAGATTCTGATAATTTCTTGATATGATTAACAGACATACAGAGCACAGAAAGATCACAATTTTGACAGCAAGCGAAGTACTCAAAGTGAGGCTCAATATTATTGAAAGACAAAGAATGTGAGGACGCATTTTGTGTGTTGCACCCAAAAATAATACTGAAGATTTTTCAATACCATAAGTATCACTTCCAAAATTATTGAACCAGGAAAATAACCTCTCAACTCTACATTCTTTACTTATATTTTTCTGGTGTGTATGATTTAGTTTTATACTCTGACTAACATAATTGGCAATTAGTTTTGAAATATAATAAGGATGATATTGTATACAAGAGAGTTACTTCAGATGTATACAGTCATAATGGATTATGATAATTTGATGTGGATATTCCATGTTAACTTATAGAGAAAAGTCTATCCCAAATCAGTTTCTTCTGGTTTAAAAACATGTATTATTGGGTCTGCCAGACAGCTCAGTGGACTAAAGCACCTCTTTAGGCAAACATAGGGACCAATGTTTGATAGCTGATGTTCCTTGCTGGCCCCATCCCTAGTGCATGGTGATATAGTGACTGAGACTGGACATAATGGGGAACACTTATCACTTGGGAGGCTGAAAACAGGAAGATCACTATGAGCCTGATACCCTGGAGACCATGTACTAAATAAATCCATTTTTTTAAAAAGGTGCCCAAAGAAAAGAATCCAAGAAAGAAATATGTTCTTCAATGAAGTGGGTATAACACATTGAAAAAGAATTTTTTTTTAGTTTTTATAATTGATAATATTACTTATAAACATTTTGGATTAAAAACGAAACCAACTTTCTAGCAAAATATTTACCTGATATAGATTTAATAAAGAGGCTGAGTTCTGCATTTGAATATTTTGTCAGAAACTAGCAAAAATAAGCAAATTCCACAAAAATAAAATAGATGAAAAGAAACAATATGAAAAGAAATCTTAAGGAAATTTAACCAGGAAGATAGATGATACATAGATAGATGTGTAGATAGAACAATAAAACTAAAGTTGATTGGTTAAAAAAGAATAACTAACAATTTTCCAGGAATAAAGAGAAAAATTGCAAATGAAAACTTTATTATTCATAAATTTCTCATTTGTACAAATAACTAAGACATCATTCACATAAAAAATTGTTTGAAGAATTGGATATTCACCTTTGAAAGTTTACTTAAAATTGAGAAATTCAAAACAAAATAGCAAACTATCCTAGGGAAAATAAGAAAAATTTCACATGTCATATGTATTAACATATAAGATCATAACTTAATATTTTACAAAAATTTTCACAGTATCTGAAACCTCAGAGGTCAAACATATAAGCATTGAAGACCATACTAATCCTGATTGTTCAAACACCTTTTTAAAAAAGGAAAAATGAAGAGAACATGATTTTCTATGAAGAGGTAAGGTCTGGCACTCTGGCACAGAGCAATAGTAGTAGAGCCAGTCCTATTCTGCCCTTTTTCTGTTGCAGGCTAATTGAGATGGGGACCTCGATGGTAACCAGGTTTGATTTACTAAACATATTTCAGCACACTCATTTCCCTAGAAAATAATAAAATAGCTAAAATTATTATACAATGAGCATCTTTTGTTATTTAAAACTAAAGAATGACAATAACAAATTTTACTAAATTAAAATTTGGACAAGATTGTATTAATTCCATCAATAATATTTCCTGGACACAAATCAGGCATTATACTTTGTCATCCGATGTGGAGAACAAGGACAACAAAAATTATTCTTGTTGGTGCTATTTCTAAAATGGAAAACCTGTCCTAGAAGTACCAGAAGTGTTGTTCTTTTAGAAACTTTATTCTTTTTGAAACTACCTAGCTCTAATACCTCATGGCTGTACAATCTCTTTTGAACACTGTAACTCTGACAACACAACAAAAACGTAGTATGTCTGACTATAAAAATCTCCGTGACCACTAATCTGGTCTTGTGACAGAGGGTTCTTAATCACACCTTCAAACTGATTATCTCGCCCTGTGAACTGATCAGGGTGGGGCCAGGCTGTCCTGCCCTGCCTTGGTACCTCCTGCTTCTGCATCATATAAAAGCCCTGGGCCACCAGCACTCACGACCTGGCTCTGCTGATGGGAAGTGACCCGGCCAGGACCCGCAGCATAAAATAAAGGTGCTCACGGCCTCCAGACTTCCTTGGTGTTGTTTCTTTTCCAGACTCAGTTTTGTTACAATGCTTCCACTAGCAATACAAAGAAGGACATAGCCACTACAGTATTTTCTCTTCTAGTTTTTAAATATATCTAGTGCAGGGTCTAAAGGGTTTCACTACACAGATTGGACTCACAGTGATCCTCCTGTTTTCAGTCTCCCACATGTTGGGATTACAAGTGTGTACCACCATGCCCACTCTCAATCCCAACATCAGCATGCCTTGGGAGTGAGGCTGACACAGCTGCCCAGAATCGAACCGAGGACCTCTAACTTGCCTAAGCAGGTACTTTATTCATGTGAGCCATCCGGCCAGCCCACTAATACAGTTTTTTCAAACAATGAAAAAAAAGCAAAACTGTTCTCAGAAAAGACTTACTATAAATGATATCATTTTCTAATGTTGTGTGTACATATAAAACACTAATGAATTAACGAATCTATAAAGTTCTGCCTGAATGACATGCTAAAATATTCCTAAATTTATTGATGGAACATTAAAAGATTAAATTTAGATGATGGTATTTATTCGATTTTAAAATAGGAAATGCTAATAAATTGCTTAAGTATTTGGAAACATATTAATGATAAAATAAAGGCAAAAAATTAAGAAAAGTAAAACTTCAATAAGTGATTAGTAAAATGTATTCACAGATGGAAGATTCATTGAAGAAGAATCACTATTTACAAAATCAGTACAGTGAAACTAGGTAATTTCAATCAAAATTCAATTATGACTTTTGGTGTAAATTATGACCTTTTATGATGTGATAGTTCATATGGTTCCTGAAATGAAACACTACTGTTGTTACCTGATTCATTAAAGTTATGAGATTATGGTAGCTTTTGTATAATTGCCTGCAGATTGAATGAGAAATTGCAACAACACAGAGACTGATTTTTACAGAAGCATTTTGTTTTGTGAAAAGAGAGAACTGAATTTACGAATGTGGCAGACTAATAAACAAAATAAACTGTCATCCATGGCATCACAAATAAGGTGGCCAAGGCTGGTCTGATATCTCAGCAGACTAAAGCACCTGCTTAGGCAGAGCACAGCAGCCAGGGTTCAAATCCTCAGCGTGCCATGAGAGGATCTGCCTCCTGGGCTTGATGAGAGGTCAATTGAGACTGGGCATGGTGGTGCGCACCTATAATCCTAGCACTTGGGAGGCTGAAAACAAAAGAATCAATACTAGTATTTTGTACATAGTGAGATCCTATAAACCCTGCAGACCCTGTCCTTAAGAAAGAAAACCAAACCAAACCAAACAAACACAAACAAACAAAAATATGGTGGCCAGTATCAAGGAGTAATCATTTCTTATATAATATTTTTATGGACCTGGGAAAACAGTGAAATTTTCCTCACCTATGTCCATCTTAGGGTAAGGGCTATGAATAAGAAGAAAAACCTGAAATTTCAGTGCTGATTATTTTAATTTCTCCCTAGATATGGAACAGTGTGTGAGGTGTCCAGATCATCAGTATGCCAACATTCAGAGAAGCCACTGCCTCCAAAAGAACATCACTTTTCTGGCTTATGAAGACCCCTTGGGGAAGACTCTGGTTGGCACTGCACTGAGTCTCTCTGTTCTCACAGCTACAGTACTTGGGCTCTTTGTGAAGCACAGAGACACTCCCATCATCAAGGCCAACAACAGGGCTCTCAGCTACACCCTGCTCATCTCCCTCACCTGCTGTTTCCTCTGCTCCTTACTCTTCATTGGCCGTCCCAACACAGCCTCCTGCATCCTGCAGCAGACCACGTTTGGAGTTGTGTTCACTGTGGCTGTTTCTACTGTCTTGGCAAAGACCATGACTGTGCTTCTAGCCTTCAAGTTCACTGCTCCAGACAGAAGGATGAGACAGTTGCTGGTGTCAGGGGCACCAAACATCATTCCCATCTGCTCCCTGATCCAACTCACTCTCTGTGGAGTCTGGATGGGGACAAATCCACCCTTCATTGACACAGATGCTCACTCTGAGCATGGCCACATCATCATCATGTGCAACAAGGGCTCCCTCACTGCCTTCTACTGTGTCCTGGGGTACCTGGGCTCCCTGGCCATGGTGAGCTTCACTGTGGCTTTCCTGGCCAGGAACCTGCCTGACACCTTCAATGAAGCCAAGTTCCTGACCTTCAGCATGCTGGTGTTCTGCAGCGTGTGGCTCACCTTCCTGCCCGTGTACCACAGCAGCAAGGGGAAGGCCATCATGGCCATGGAAGTCTTCTCCATCTTGGCCTCCAGTGCAGGGCTGCTGGGCTGCATCTTTGTCCCCAAGTGCTACATTATTTTATTAAGACCTGAGAGAAATTCTCTGCATGGGTTTAGAGGTAAAATACATTTGCACAATAAGAAACCTTTCTAAGTTTAAAAAAATATATGTTTTAGTAGAATAAGCACTTGTTTGGTAAGCACAAGGGTCTGAGTTCAATCCCCAGTTCCACTATAAAAATAAAAAT